TGAAGAAGCTAGCTCACTGTTTCAATATTATTTTGTCTCTAGAGTCTTAGCCCTTCTATTTTTCTCGCCTCAGAAATTTCTTGCTACTGTCAGGCCAATGAATGATATATTTTATTTTACTTTTCAAGTTGTTCTTGGTAGGAACACAAGTTTGCCACTCAGTTATTCCATCACTTCCCAAAATAGAATTTTTAGGGAAATGTATGGAATATTTTATATGCATTCGCTATTTCTGACAGTCCAGTAAATTTCCCTTTTCTCACACAAAAGAAACAGTTCCTCTTCAAGTGAGACAACCCAGTGTTCCAAGTTACTGAACCAAATTCAAATCAGTAATCTCCAAGAGACTACAGTTGTATTATGAATCATCTTGAGCTGGAGATGTATGAACTGAAAGACAAGTTACCTACTCATTGTCTGCATCAGTGTGCAAAAATGGAACGGGAGGAGGATAAGTGTAATAAATGATCCTGCAGGGGAAAGGAAGACCAGGGGACACACCGCAGTCACCATCTGTAAGCAATTTTGAAATTCCATTGGACAAACATTTTACGACCTTTGCACTGAGGTGTCAGAGTCCTTGATTAAGTTTCTTATTCTCTGGGACACTGCTGGTATCTACTGTTCTACCTATCATTGGCTTTGCCTTTTGGATGCTCCATCTTTCCTACTATTCTTGACTCATTTGAAATAGGAATTGGAAACTATGGCCAATGAAAAGCTTTCTGAATTAAAATTTTTACATAATTTTTGAGGGCCCACAATATTTTCTTAGTTGTTTGTTTAAGTCTGGGACAATCCAAGGTGTTTTATATTCCAAGCTTGTGATGAAAGAGCCTTTGGAAATGTGGCAAGCTCTGCTTTATTTGCTTCTAGTCAGTTTCATGAATCATGATTCTAGAGTCTGCTTTACTCTTTTGTATTCTTGTTCTATCTTTCTCTCCACATATTGGAAGCTATCTTGAGGTCCTCTGGAACATATGTATCAGGCAGACCTATAATTTATCTTTTCCAAACTTCATTTTATCCAGTAGAAAATGTATACTGGCCTTTGTCTCTCAAAACCAGCTTTAATCAATTCTCTGTCAGAATCTGAAAGCTATACGTTTTTCCAATCATGGAAGGCCCAAATTTCTGCTTGAAAACTGGCTAATTATTCCTGTGCCAATAACTTTCTTGTAATATAATGTCAAACACAGCCAATAGCAAATACTATACATTCTTTTCCTGGAACTGAGTTGGTTCTCAAATTGGCCCCCATATACAAAGTGCAGGGAGAGATTGAGGAATAAGGTGGACCACTCCAGCTGGGAGGGTAGAGGGTTTAATAAGTAAGGGACATTCCTTATGAGGCTTATCGTGGGTGGGTGCAGTACATGCAGACTCCTGCACTTGCCTGCCAGAATCTTAAAGTTTATAGAGGCCTTAAAACATTCAGTCACATGTACTGTCCAGGTGCTCTCCGCACCACCTTCTTCTCTCCAGGTTGCAGCCTTGAATGCGGCTCCCACTGTGGGAATGGTGGGCAGAACCTATGTTCTAAGTACAAGAGAGTGTGTTAAGAGCCTTCAGTTGGTCATGTCCAGTTCACAGGTCAACCAGCAGTGATAGCCTCCCGATGACCTCCTCCAACAACTACAAGAGCAGAGTCCATCATCTTTCTCTCACTTGACCAGAGTTAGCAAATATATAGCCTTTGCATAATTGTGTCTCCATCTTTCCAGCTCCTGACAGCATGTTACACCAGAAGCATTTTTCATGCTATATGTGTTAGGCAACGTTAACTGCCGCAGCAGACAAATCCCAGAGCCTCAGTGGTTCAACAGAACAGCATTTATATTTTTACATTTATTTTCCAATGCAAGTTGGCAGGAGAAGTCACTCTACAAGTCAGGTTGCATGAGGAGCCACAGTTTGGTAGGTTGCTACAGGAGGAGAGAGAAATGGAGCAGGTACACTGATCTTCAGAGATCAGCTGAGAAGTAATGTACCACTTTCACTCATGGTCCATTGACTAGCACTAGTCACTAGGCTGCAAGCTATGTGCAAAGGAGTCTGGGAAAAATTGAGAAGCACATCCTATCTAATAATAGACAAAGATTCAAATTGACTGTACCTTTGCTACACCTCCCATTGGCTAATCAGAGCGATATGCAAATTAACTGCCAACAAAGATGGCAGTTAGTTTGCATATGTAGGGGCGAAGCGGCGGAGCGAAGACTGAAGGCGGCTCCAGCCGGAGCAGTGAGGGCTTGAAGGCGGCTCTAGCCGGAGCAAAGGCCTGGGTCCCGGTTGCTGGAGGAAAACTGGTGCCAGCAGCCAGGGGAAGGGAAGGCCTATTGCATGAATCTTTTCATGCAACAGGCCTCTAGTCTATATTATAAAAACTCAGTGGCCCTAATGCCGTAAGGACAAAGACCAGTGTGGGTGGGCGGGGCCATGCAATTTCACACACTGGGCTTCTAGTAAAATAATAAGCATGTGGAAAACAAATGTACCTTGCTTATTTATTTATTTATTCTTTCACTGTTTTCTAGAGATCGAAGGTCCTATCTATTCAGGTATGCCACAATTCTTTCTGACTCTCGCAAAGTTCTTTCAGCACTAAATACTTCAGGTATTATGATGATTTTAATCACTGTAATACCCAAATCTATTTATATACGGAATTCTTTCAAATGGTAGAAGACAATCCCCTGTGGGGGGCATTCAGGAGGCAGCCAATGGATGATTCTCTTTCATCATTGATGTTCCTATTCCTCTCTCTCTCACACCCTTCCTCTCTCTGAAATCAAATACTAGTATATATGTGTATGTTGTACTTGCCCCTTGTTCCTCACCTTAACACTCTTCTCCTCCCCACTCAGACACAGACATCTTATCTCTTACTATCCCTGTCACCTAAAAATTCCATATCTTGAAAGACATGGAATGCAAGGCATCCCAAGGGTATTTTATTAAAATACAAGTAAAAGCCATCCGTAGTGGCTACTCTGCACCAGAATGTTAGGTTTTTAAGCCTTACAGTACCCCACAACAATATTTGCCAATCACCCTACAAGCTCTTGAGACACTTTCATATCCAGGTCCTCCATTGTCAAACCAATTTGGCTTTTTCTCTCCTGTCCAGGAAAATATTTAGCTTTCATGTAGTATTTCCTCTAGATATTAGGGGAGGCTGGAAAATCCACTGGCTAAGGACTACTATTTCCCCTTAGGAGAGCAAACCTTTATACAAATATGCCAAACCTAGTTACTCCTCTCAGAAGTCATTCTAATTGTTTATAGTTAGCTGCCTCTAAAAAGCAGAGGCTTACCTGGGAGACCCAGGCCTATACCTGTTATTGAAACTTTGATCCACTATGGTCAGCAAGGGTGTGTAATAATGTTATTTCAAAGCATTGCCTGATGAGCAGTTCCGTGCAAGAAGCGGGGCTGCAGGAGCAGGTATGGGTTGAGTTGTGGCCTAATCGGAGAAGTTCTTTGTTTCTCTTATAAATAGGCTTTGGTGTTGCTGTCACTGGGAAAGTCAGAAAGGACACACAGAGACAGCCAACACAGTGTCTTGCTGCATGAAGAGATAGAAATTGTGCACAATTAATAAACAGTGTGGATGGTGGAAGAAAGATTGGAATTTTAATAGAAAACTTCTGTCAGTAGCAGAGGCAGACTGCTTCGCAAATGGTCACAAATGCCTTGAATAAAAGGAGTAACCATTTCAAGAGGACAGCTGCTGGCAAGAAACGGTCGGGGTGTAGGAATATCACTTGTGTAGGAGAACCTAGCCCTGGCTGGATAAAGCAGGCTAACAACCTGGACGTCTACCAAATCCCGCCAGAGATGTGCTTTGTTTGGCTGGCATAGGTTTTAAACAACTTTAATGCGTGTGCTGTTATGTGGCAGTAATGCTCCCGGTTATTGTCACTTTCTATTGTCATATATTCACCCCATGCATACGTTTATGTTACCTGCATGGCCCTGTGTGCATTTTTAACTTGTGATACAAAAGGTATTTTTACATGTTCCTAGGGAGGAGGAACAGAATGCTGATAACAAAGCACCACTGATATGCTTTGTAGTTTGTTCTTTGTAATTATGCTTAGATCATCATATCAAGAGTCAACAGTGTATAGTTCTTATTACACAGGCATTTGAAATCCTTGCTTCTGCTGCAGACAATGATGCCTGCGGTTCTTTTTTTCTTCTTTTTCTTCACCCATTCTTTTTGGAGTCCAGCTTCTGCCCTGAGCTGCCACCACTACATTTTCTGTTTATCATCACAACTGAAGCCATTTCTCCCAACCCTAATTGGCTGTCCTACCCCTCTCAACAGGGTGAGCATTTTTCCCCTCCAGAAGCACCCATTAGAGAAAGGTAATTGATAAAAACCCATGTTCCAGGTGTTTTATCTAGTTAACTCTCACCACAATTCTATCTGTTAGGTATTATTCGAAAAATAACTGTAATTGAAGAACCTGAGATTGAAACAGGCTCAGGGCTTCTCCAGGTCACCCAGGCAGTGACTAGCAGAGGCATGACGTGAATTTCTAAGTCGGTGATGGCGAACCTATGACATTTTTTTGGTTGATCTTTCTTTGTTAAATGGCATTTAAATATATAAAATAAATATCAAAAATATAAATCGTTGTTTTACTATGGTTGCAAATATAAAAAAATTTCTATATGTGACATGGCACCAGAGTTAAGTTAGGGTTTTTCAAAATGCTGACACACCGAGCTCAAAAGGTTCTCCATCACTGGTCTAAGTCGATCACATCTCCATTTCACCAGGCCATTTCAGGTTGATCTCCGCAATGCTGGTTGCGATGGTTCAGATTTTACTTTCCTTTACACTGGAAAAACAGAAAAGCATCTATTTGGTTATATGTTTATATTTTTTATTATCTAAACAAAAATTCTTCTAACTTGTTATTGTTGTCATTAATGCAAACAGAAGAGTGTTAAGATGTTTTGGATGATTTTTTTTCTTAGTTTTAATAGGCAACGAAAGCAGAATCCACACCTGCTGAAGAAAAATGATCTTACACGAAGGTGTGCACCGAAAGTCATTCAGAGTAGCAAATCCTTGTCATTCCTCTTGTCAGTCACTAGCTGTCAAGAGTGCTCAGTCTGTCAGTTTTATTGAAGGTAACGAAGTTTGTTTGATGGAAACACTTTTTTTTCTCTTGAGGAAAAATAATGTGGAGTTGTGTTCTTTGTCCCTATAAACAAGTGAAAAATACTTGTCATCTTTTATCTTGGCAAAGTATTGAAATATCTTAATTGAAATAACAAAGAAAAGTTTGTAATGATTTTGAATTTTGCATTAAGAAGAGAATCCCATGGAGTAATTCGACTAATTTCTTTTTGGAAACTAGATTTCTTTTTTGTTTTAATCTAAAACAGAAGTAAAATTATTGTAAATTTACATTAGTTTGCTTTGCTTATTTTTAGAATTGAATGTTTAAAATTCACAATATATTTGTCCTAGTTCTGTTGATTGATATACATGTAATATATGAATATTATGTAATAGTTTGTTATAAGATAATTTAATTACAATTATTTTGGTTTTTATCCTCTGTGCCAAGAGATGAAAGTGAAGAGCAGAGGACACTGCCAGGTGCAGGAACCTAATCTTTCCTGTTTTACATTGAGAAATAATAGGTTTCCATGAAGTCATGCTAAGTATTTATTTTCACTTCATCATAATAATAATGTACTAATATTAATGAAAGTTATAAATACTACTAATAATATATTAATAGTGAATAATTATAGTATTTATCTTCACTTAATAATAAGGATGAAATAAACATATTTTCCTAAAAATGTGAAGAAAATTTGTTTCTACTAGATTTTTGATGAAAGAACTTTATTAAAGGTTGTACTTTTGTAAAAACAGAGAAATAAATCCAAAAGGCAGTACTGAGAACAAGAAGGGAGTGATGAACAACAAAAAAAGTTGTAAATGTGGTTATTTCTAAATAAACATTTTTGTACAAAAATAAGAAGGCTATAAAATTTGGGAACTAAAAACTAGAGAGAACTAAATCAGGCAAATTTGGAATTAAAGCCTTTGAGTTGCCAAGAAGAAACTTGAGATTTTCATTAACTTTGGACTTTTAGTGAACTTTATACATATCAAAAGTCAGGAAATTACTAAAAAAAAGAGGTAACATCTAGCATTTTTATTATAGAAGTAAATAAAGGGGGTGATAAAAGAATTAAATAATCCCAGATCAACTAAGCATAGAAAAAGGAACATATATAGAAAAGTTGTAACAGAGGCAATTAGTAATTACAATAAGTGCAAATGGATTAAATATTCCATCTAGAAAAAAAAAATCTCAGATTGGATATTTTTAAATCCAGCTACATGCTTTTTCAAGAAGACAAATATAAAACATATAAAATGTTAAGGCCAGAGAAAGGCAGAATGTATAACAGTCGAACAAATATACTTGGGAAACATTAGCAAAAATAAATGTTTCAGATTAATATCAGACAAAATATACTTTAATTAAAAAACTATTTTTAAGACTAAAAGGTTCAATTCAACAGGAATATAAATCATTATAAGCCCAGCTGTATGTCATGCAGACTCAAAATACAGAAAGCAAAAATTGGAACTACTGTGGAGAGCTGATAGAACACATTTATCAGTCATTGATAGAGTAATAAGGTAATGATACATAAGGATATTATATATTTAAATTTCTTTGGCTTTTTTTTTAGATAACTTACCTTGAACTTCCTTTAGTCTCTACCTAGTTGTACCTCCTCAGAAGTGTTATCCCCGTATTGAAATAGTCTTATGTCCCTATTTCCATCATTCTTTATTCTCTAATTGGCTTAATTTGTTTTATATCCTTTTTATTAAATGAACATATGCCAAATACATATGCTTATGTGGCATTTCTGCTTTACTCCTTACATGCCAAATGCCTAGAACACAGCCTGGTCCGTTGCTGGTGTTTAATAAGTATTTGTTGAATTAACAAATAAACCCAGGGTTTTGGTAATGCTATTCTCTTTGTGGGTAAGCTCTCCCCGTCTTCCTCTCTTTTCCTAGCTGACTCCCACTTGGCTTCTTGGCATTTGGCTTTCAGATTCCTCAAGAAATTTTTTCTTGTTCCCACAGCCATCTCACACTTCTGCAGAACCTTATAAGGCCGATTTGTAAATTCACTCAATCATTCACTCAAGTATTAACTGAGTGCCTCGTATATTCTGACTCTTGTTCTAGGCCCTGGGGATGCAGTAGTGAACACAACAGAGTAATTTAAACTGTTGTGAAGTTTATACTCTAGTGGGGTGGTGGTGGAGGGCAGACAAGAAGCAAGTAAACAAGTACATAGTACTTCCTACAGTTGTGAGTAGCTGAGGAAACATGAAGCAGGGTTAGGGAGACGAGAGAGCCAAGAAAATAGTAGGAGCGATTCTTTTATATCGAGGCCCAGGGAAAGCCTTACGCAGTAGGTGTTTTGAAGGAGAATCTGTAAGTAAGTGAGGGACTCGCCCTGATAACTGGGGAAAATGTCGCAGAGGAAACTGCAAGCGTTAAGCGCCTTGAGGCAATAATGCTCCAAAAGTGCTGCAGAAACATCTTCGAGCCCAGAGTGCTGGCGCAGAGTAAATAAAGTAGTAAAAGATGAGGCCAAAGAGAGACTTTTTCTTTGGTAAGTGATGCCATTTTTGTTTTTACAGCTACCCGGGATGGG